ACACACACACACACACACACACACACACACACACACACACACACACATTCTACTTCTGTTTTAAGATCATCTGTGAAGGCCTTGGCAAAGGAGGCAGCCATATAGGAAGGGGTCCCAATGTCTTCAGTGGCAAGAATCCATTGTTCATAATGTTCATTTTCCAAGGCGTGACACAACCAGTGTTCCAAATTCAAGCCTTCCCAAATTATACTTTTAAGGAGACTTCTCTACCCATAGAATCAGGGATTTTTATTTCCAGGCTCAGGTTTGTTCTAAGAACAAAGTCAGAGAAATTTTTGTGTTCTAGGTTCACTTCACTTTGCATCCTACTTCACTTGAGCCCAGCACGTGATGGCAGCACAGAGTGAATGGAGTCCAGCCATCGCAAGTTTCACCTGCCCAGTAGCATTGCCACACCACAGCAGGAGGTGCCCTCCATGTAGGCAAAAGGGGGCTGTCAAGCAAAGGCAGTAGGTGAGAATTGAAAGGAAAACAAACACACCTCTGAAACCCTTAACCCAAAATTTTTCAGATTTCCTTGTTTAAATGCTAGTTCTAAGAACAAAGTCAGAGAGGGTTTGCTCAGGTCTCTGCTGGAGGTGGAGAAGCAAGGAATCCCAGTCTTGGGATGCAGAATCTAGGGTTATGTGATCCCAGGCCCAAAGAGCACAAGGGCATTCTTGGTCAAAGTACTCCAGAGGTTGGGTAGCCTGTTGTACTGAGGAGAAGCGATCTTGGCCCAAAAGCTCTTTGAAGCCCCAACGGATAGTTTGTTGGTTCTGTTTTGATTTTTCCTGATCTGTTGAGGTCATTCATCTCTATAAAGGAGCCTCCCATTGAATGAACAGATTGGGAGACAAGGAGAACCACCAGTCCTGAGGTGTATTAAGAGCTTCACAAAAGCTCAGGAGAATGGATTTGGTCCAAGGGGCATGAATACAATCCATCCTCTTGAACTGCTTGCCTAAGCTGTTTTAGTTGGTTGGTCTGGTAGTCCTGGGGTGGAGATCAAGTGGGTTGAACATTAACAGGGAAGGCCAAGGTGTTATTTCCATTGTGGGCAAGTTCAGAGGTGTCTCTAATCTCTAATAGCTGTTCAGTAGTCTGTAGGGGGGTAAAAGGCACAGAGCCTTCAACAGTTTCTTGAGTGTCCTTATGGTGAGGCAGGAAGGTTAATTTTTTTCTCAGGCTGAGCCAGGCATTGCTGAATGAGAGGAAGGAATGAGGAGCTGTACCTCCTTGGACTTCTCAAGTTTGTTTGAGATAAGCCACCCTAGTCCATAATTCAGGATCATAGGGTTTTCTTGAGTTCATCCAAGGGGCTAAGTGAAGGACCTCCTCCCAGAAGGAAACTTCCTTCTCAGAGATTTTAATCCCCTGCAGTTTGAGGAGGCCTCTAATTTGGGACTCCTGCTGGTGAGAAGTGGAATTACCCATGATAGAAAAGAATGAAAGCACTCAAGCCAATGGGGGAAGGTTCCTGGGACTAAGTTCCAGGCTGCAAAGACTGCCTGCAAATTAGACCCATAACCATTAGATAATAAATAAGGCAACACATTGCTGTTGACATTAACTATTTTATCTTTGACAGAATCTTTTAATGTACGTTGGGTACATCTACTCAGGAATATTTTAAGACAATTTTAAATGGAAAGCCATATCTTTCTCTAATTAATAATTCATTCACCAACTCCCTCATTTATTATTTTCTGTGCACACAAGTGTGCTAACACACACATGAACGTCCAAGAATGACTCTAGAGAGTTGGTTCTCCCCACCAGGCCCCAGAATCAAAGGTAACCAGGTTTGGCACTGCTAAGTCCTCTCACTATGTTCCCCACACCCCTCATCTAATTTCCAAAGATGTGTGGTAACTGCACTGAATTCCTGCCTCTTCTGTTGGCCTCAGGTAAATCCTTGAACCCATCATGGCAGTGTATCCAGTGAGGTTAGAGTTATCATCCTTGGCCAAGAATTGTCCCTGGAATTATGCATGGCAAGTCAAATTTTCCATCTAACACACCTTACGTTCACCAGCATCCTGGACACAGCACTGCATCTGTTCAAAAGGAAAAAATGTCAGCAATGTTACAAGTACTAGGCCAGAGCTCTTTACACAAAGGACCTTTCTGGTGGTTACTAACTGCATCTGATGACATAAGTCCTGCCTCTGACTAGCATTCATTCCTTCACAGAGTTCTGATCCTCACACTTCTGATAGCTGGGAGTCTATTTCATTTCCTCTGGGCCATCCTTCTGACTAAATCCACCCCAGAAGCATAGACCCTTACTGTTTAGAAACAAAATTACTAACTGCAGTATTTCTTTTTTCTTTTAAGGATTTGATTATGTATACAGTATTCTGTCTGCATGCCAGAAGAGGGGACCAGATCTCATTATATATGATATGAGCCACTATGTGGTTACCTGTTGAACACAGGATTAGCAGCCAGTGCTCTTAACCTGAGCCATCTCTCCAGCCCTCTACACTATTTCTAGAGGGCAAGTTAAACCATTTTCATTGATTTCAAAGCCAGAAGCAGCACTAAACTTGTTTCCTGAGACTGAACAAGGAAGTCCTAACCCTAAAACTTGCTGTATCCACCCACAGTCCTTAGTTAGACAGTAGTTCATGCTCTCAGACTTCCATCAAACCAAACGACACAATAGAAACATAACCTCTAACAGAAACAAAACTTATCACACACTTGCATGTTCCCTTGTTGCAGTACTAGGCAGAGCACATGAGGTAGTTGTTTTACTAGAGCCCACAACACTGAGTTTCCTCTAAAATGGCCTTCATCTGGCATAAATGCCCATAGATCCCAACACATGGGTACTAGGGCAGGAAGATTTCCTTGGCCAATATGAAAACCTGCCTCAATGACTTAATAAATGCTTTTTAAATTGATGTCTCATTCAGACTACACACCGGAATTTCAGTTTACAAATCAATAGAAGACTACAAAGTGTCACTTTCCTTAGCTTTCTCACATCTAATTTTGGATCTTCACAATGTTAAAGCAGTAGTGAACAGGCAGGACCCCTGAGTGCTCATTAGAAACCTAAGCCTGGTTTTAGGGACTCTCCAGTGAGACAAAAATGTTTCAGCAATATGGAGCACAGAGGTTAGGCATCTAATACCTTGCACCAAAGTGCCGGGGTGCTCAGATTTTCTACCAGGAGAAAAATCCAGACAGGCTGGGTCTGTGTCAGAGGAAGGGTAATCCAGTCTCTGTGGGCACAGAGCTCCCTGCTCTCCTATGACGCCCTCAAAACTTTAAAAAAGCACAAAACAAAAAGCCCAGCCTCTGTGCCAAGCAACATTTGAAGGATACGTGCGGTGAGGGCACGACTGTGTAGACGACATTCTTGCTAACACTGGAATTATCCTGCTACTTACTGATCCCTGATATCATTCGCTTCCTAAATAGGTGATATCCCTGTCACTGGACTACAGGGCGGGCAAGAGTCCTCAGCGTGCCCAGGACCCTGGGATGTTGGGATGCCTCACCTTCCCCCAAAAGAACAAATCTGGGCTGAGCGAGGCTGATTACTCTCCCACACTGAAAGGACCTGCACGTGGCAGGGACCAGCGCACCCAGTGAGAGTAGTGGGGATCTCAGAGGCCACCTGGTGGGATCTTGTGATTTGCAAGGCAGAGAGTACTCACCATGAGCACGCTGCGGTGGAACAGCAGGGCGCCATTTTGGGATGGGTTTTAAAACCATCCAGACTTTGAACACTGGCGCCCTTCTTGCCTGCTCCTTCCCAGGTTCCCACCTGACTCCAGCACCTGCCCTTGAGCGGCCCCTGATGGCACCAGAGCCTCCCAACTTGCCCCTACCCGAGGGTAGCAGTCCCACTCACTGTCCTGACTTCAGAATCTGTCACCTCGCTGAAGGTTAGAGGAGCATCTTGATACCACCACAGGGTGGGCATTTCTTTTTCTTCTCCCTGTGCTTCTTAGTCATATATTGAATTCGTTACTATTCCACATCCTTTTTTGCTAATTTTTATTTGAAGACCCATGTATAAAGACCCATATGTAAAGGAATTTGATCCTCTTAAGGAAGCTGTAACATCATGGAGACATGAGCACTCTCTTAAGAGGGGCTGGTGTAAGGGAAGACCCCAAGCCTAGAAATTGCTCAATTGGCTTTGCACTTCCAGTGCTGGCCAAGATCTGTAAACATCTTGCCCTCAAAGCCTGTCTGTGACTCAGGAGACATCTGTGCCTGACACAATCAGGCTTGGTTATTTGGGGGGGGGGCAGGTTTCCTTGTTTTTTTGTTTTGTTTGTTTTTGTTTTGTTTTATTTTTGTTTCCCCCTACCACACCTCAGCCTCCAGATGGTGTGTCTCCATGTAGTGCAGGCTGTCCTGGCACTCCCGTTTAAACTGGGCTGGAATCAAACTCACAGATCCTATGCACAAACTCACAGGCCTATGCCTCCCCAGTACTCGATTAAAAGCATGAGCCACCACCCTGTGGAGTGGGTCCTCTTTACTAAAAGCAACTTTCCTTCTAACACGGGAAGATAGGAACCAAAAATGAGTGACAAAGGAGTAGGGAGAAATGCGACTACATGCTCAGGAATGCCCAGGACTGTGACCACTGTGTTGGAAGACACAGGAAGGATACTTTTCAGTGAGTTTCAGAGGTGGTCCAACTGATACCTTGATTTTGGACTTTTGGTTGCCAGTCCTGAGCTAGTATTTTTTTTGTGAAAGCCACTAAGGGCTTTGCTAAGGCAGTCCAGGAAACTGACACAGTGACTGACAAGAAGGGGTTGAGTCCTCCCAGTGGTTAAGGCTAGCGTCTCCTAAGGACCCTCGTTTCCCTTCCCACTGCTGTTCCTGCTATGTGCACCTGCAGCTACCTCAGTAGATGACTGTGGAATTACTCAGGAGGTGAAGAACACCAGGATGCACATCTCAGTCATGAATGCCCGAGATTAGGGACTTTTTTTGCTAGACATTTGTAAACTCATAAGGCAAACCAATGTTCCCATCACCTAAAGAGCTTACATTCTGTTGTAAAGCAGGAATTCTCCAGAGGGAAAACTAAGGGGAACAGTTAGGATTGGGAAGCAGGAAACCAGGTAATTCCATGATTCCTCTAGGGTGATCTACAAGCCAAAGAAACACTGTGGGGCCACACCCTGGGCCCTCTGCCCTGTTTTTATTTACACATATTTACTTTTACCCACAATTTCTCCCAGGAATTTTGAAACTTGAGGTGTTCTACTAAATGGAGTTGAGACCATTTGAGTTAAAAGGATGAATTTGGTTTTTGTGTCAAAAACTATGACCGGTGGTTGTAGGTGTGTATGTGTTACTTTCCCATTGTGTGAAAACCACTATGGCCAAGATATCTTATAGAACAGCTTATGTGGGCTTGTGGTTCCTGAGTCCATGATGGAGGAGAAGGCATGGCAGGAGGAACAGGAAGCTGAGGGCTCACACCTTGAACTGGAAGCACAAAGCAGACAGAGAGATTTAGGAATCACACAAGTCTTTAAACTCTTAAAGCCCATCTCTAGAGCCAACTTCTTCCAAGATCATTCCTCCTAAGCCTCCCCAAACAGTGCCACTGAGTGGGCATCAAGCAGTCCAATGCCTGAGACTATGAGAGACATTCCTCATTCAAACCAGGATCTTACTTTTGGAAGCAGAACTGAACCTGAGGGCATATCAGAAGCAGAGTTGTCCTGAGGGGACAGTGAGCACTGGAGAAGAACTTTCTTCTTCAATGAGAGCCAAGAATTCTGCCCAGAGCCTGGAGTAGATTTGAATAAAGGAAGATGACACTGTGTTCTGGGAGCCTACAACCCAGCACTCAGGAAGAGGCAGGGCAGTCTGAAGATCAAGGCCAACCTAGTTACTTAGCAAGATCTGGCTCTCCTGACAAATGAAGAAATGTCACCAAGGAATACTCTGTCATTTATATGCTAAGGCAGTGGTTCTCGACCTTCCTAACACTGCAACCCTCTAATACAGTTCCTCATGTTGTGATGACCCTCACCCATAAAATTGTTTTCTTGCTACTTCATAACTGTATTTTGTGTTATGATTCATAATGTAAATATCTGATAAGCAGAATGTCTGCTGTCCCTCAAAGGGACTGAGACCCCCAGACTGACAACCACTGTGCTACAGTAACTGAGTACTCATATCCTAGGGCCCAGCAATGTTTTATTTTTCAGGGCCTTGATCTGGCAAGGTACGATTTCTGTCACAGAGGTTAAAACCTCACCCCTCAAATACCCTCTCTTGGAGGGCATAATCTTCACTTACTCAGTGAACTATGTTGCCTTGGGGTTTCCATTGCAATAAAGAGATACCATGACCAAGGCAACTTTTATAAGGACAGCATTTAATTGGAGGTGTCTTACAGGTTCATTGGTTCAGACCATTATCATCAAGGCAGGAACATAGCAGCCTCGGGGCAAGCCTAGCACAGGAGGAGCTAGCTGAGGGTTCTACACCTTTATCCAAAGGAAGCCAGAAGCAGACTGTTTTCTAGGCAGCTAGGAGAGACTGAAAGCCCACCTCCAAAGTAATACACTTCCTCCAACAAGGCCACATCTCCTAATAGTGCCACTCCCTGGCCAAGCATATTGAAACTACTACATATGTGTAGAGCAGGAATCTCAGGCCATTGTCAGTGTTTGGCACTGTGTTAGACTCAGGGACGGTCTGTCCCCAGTTCCACCTTCTGCTAGATCAGAGGTTAATGTTACTGTTTCCCTTAATTACTCTCGACCTTATTTTTTGAGACAAGTTCTGTCACTGAACCTGGATCTTGCTGGTTCAGCTAGACTCTTCACAAGTAGGACTCTGTAGACTTTATGGGCAGCAGAGAGAAGGGCCATGGGAGATGAGGTGACAAGGCAGTCAGCACCACAGGACTCAGTGGTCAGCACTGGCAAAACTTTGGCAGTCAGACCCCAGTTGATTATTTTAGAT